CCCCCGGAGCCGTGTGAGGGACGTTTTATTACGGATGCGCGCACTGTATTTCACGTCTTCTGAACTATTGGAACTATTTTGCACTGAATGAACCTAAATATATCTGTTATCCGTGTGCCCAGCAGAGGGAGCACACGACTAACCAAAACAATGAGCACATGGTAAATGTCAGTAGCTACTGCCCCCATGCAGCACTGTGAGGTATGTAGCCTATCTGCTGCATTCATTTACAATTGTACGATAAACCTTCTTTAAAATCCACAGTAAATAACAAAAGTAAGATGCATGCAGTCATTAGCAGTGTTTAATCACACTTACTGGAACAAATCGAACATGTAAGAAATTTGGATTCGGTATTTCTGATTTTTATTTTTTTGGTCTTTTATCGAATATTTAAAACATTACTCTTGAGCAGTGCAAGGCTGAAAGTTGGAAACAGCAGATGCCGATGCAAACGTCTTCATCCTATTACTATGAGCAGCTGCTGGCCTATCGAATCCGATACACTTTCATCTTTCAAAGATGTTTTGATAGTCAAGGATGCATCCGATACATAATACCCATGTTGCCTTAAAGCCGACGGGAGACCTGTAGAGAAGGAAGAAGTCCTTACAGATAACAGAGATGCCTGAATTCAACATTGCATGCGGGAGGAGCTGATAAAGGTAACGGTCTTTGCTTATCCGCTCACGACAATAAAAGCTTTACCTTTAGTTCAGTAAAAGACTCTACATGCTAACAACGGGACATCTGAGAGAACAGTTAGAAAATTCGAATACAAATCACTTTATAAAAATGTGGAATTAGATTAGTGAAACTCCACCAGAGCTGCATCCTACGCTTTGTACAATCCTGTATTAACGTTTTGTTGTCTGTTTCGCATCTGTTCCATACAGCCACCCAATTAATATGCAATTTGACCACCTAATGAATGCAATACATTGATTATTGTCAAAGGCTTATTAATGAACTTACTAAGTTATTCTAGGCATTTCGAAGAGCTTTTGTAAGCAGAAATTTGTTAATGTCAAAGATCAGTTTTTGACAGTCACATAACTCTGAAATATTATTGATAATGAAATAATGTTGATTATTAAGTTATGATAAATGGCAGCTACATGTCCATCACTGTAATACCTTGAAACAGCATGGAGACATATTAACCATTTATTTACTTACTTACTGACGTGGTACTTTATCTTTTAATAAGAACATAATAAGAACATTTTAATAAGAACCCAGCATTGCATTACCCAACTTTATATAGCTAATGCTTAAAAATTGTATTACTTACAAGTTACAAAATAGCTAAGGGTAAGAAATGCCATGAAAATTTAAGTTCTGTGTTGTATTTATCTCTACAGGCCCCTTGGTGTACCTTCAGAGACCCTGGTTAAAACCCATGAATTAAAACCCTAAATTATTTACCATTTGTTATGTTAAAACGAATATCAGACTATAACAATGTTTTTGATTAGAGATGTGGGTTCAGAATTTGGGTTAGGTATTTTTGTGTCTGTTGTAATCTTAATTGAACCAGGGATTTAAGCTAGTTCTTGAAATT